CGTCCAGCCGCTCTTCCTCCTCGGCCAAGGACGACAAGTAAAAATATCCCCGCTTTGGGAATATTGTCAAAATACACGGCACACAGTTGACCGAAAATTGGATTCATGTTGACCAAAACTTGAAATCTTGAGCGAGAAAAGTCACCAATAAACCGATTAGCTGGGCTATGCTATATTTTGTAAAGTGTAACTACTGTTTCTACACTGGAAAAAAAAACACATTGGATCTAGAGTCCAGACTCTTGAAAACATTGACAAGAAAAAGTACTCTTGATTCAATCGGATTTTTGCTTGAATCAAAAGGAAATCCCCTTAAATTAAGAGGCTTGGTTCTTGATTTAAGCTTTAATCTGATTGAATCAAGAGTACTTTTCCATGTCAATGTTTTTAAGAGTCTGGACTCTAGATCCAATGTGTTTTTTTTTTTTTTTCCAGTGTAGCTTATTTTGGAAACAGTACTCGTACCGTTTGTTTCCTAATGCAGATAGGTGGTTTCATAAATGAACCAGAGAATTAGTACTTCCTTATTGCAAAATAAAGTACAGCCATTTAGAACATTTGGTAAATTTGCAAGATGGTATTTGGCTACACACTTGGCTAGAACATTTCGAGAGAAAATGTGAAAAAAATTAAAGCAAGAAATTCTTCAAACGATTTCCATCAGTTTCTTCATCTTTAATTATCCAAGAATTTCTCCCTAAGCCAACACTAAAGCCACTGCGGCACCGCCTCATTACCAGCACTGATCTGGATAAAGGCCGTCAGTCAAGTCTCACCTATAATCAGAGTCGCACTGACCGAAGAGAGTTCTATCTGGTTTTACTTGCAATGGCAAGGTCTGAATGATTAATCAACGATATCTCCCTATTTGAAGCAACGATGAAGAATCAATTATTGAGGATTTCGTTGCGAACACCCTGTTTATTGATCCTTTGCCATGGATTGAAATGACACATCAATCGATAAATCGCTGAGCACGCAACACCAATTAGGACACATATTGATGATGAAAGTTGTATGGCTTGTATATCAATTATTGTGACGTATCTGACGTGATGCAGGAAACCTCGTAAATTGTTATATATTTTTGTTATTATTTTTTTCGTATAGAAACCATTGACGTTGCTTTTCAAGTCATAGAATATTCTGTAAATGATATAAAAACATCATTAAAAATTCCGGGAGATGATAATCGTTGGTTTTTTTCAAAAAATTAACCTGTAAAATCGAAAATCGATCCACGTGTTTTGTGAAACTCTCGCCATCGACGTTTCGTCAACTGTGCGGTGAGAGTAAACGCTGCTCCCCGAAAAAACAGCCCTCGTTTTCTGGTCCGCATTATTGAAATTTTGAAAAATTCCCTTTCACGATGCGTTTACAAAGCACTGTGAGATAACGCAGATAACGCGAATGATTTCTTAATGATTCGACCGAGAGAAGCATCGATTTTTCTTGCGCGCGCCTCTGGCCTCAGACATCCGATTATTCATCCACCATTCGAAGTCGGTTAACGCTGATCAAAAACACGGTTCCCTAAATCCCAGCATGAACCCCCAATTGTATAAGCGTATACAAATATCAAAACTCAGTCAAAAATATAGATTGAGTTCTTAAGTATGTAGTAGAACTTCGGTTGTTACAAATTCTTGCGACAGGTTATTCGAGGCATGCGTTTTCGGTGAGGGTAAACTATTGACGTGGTGCGTTTGACAAATGTCCCTAATTTTTCTATGATCGATCGCCTGGCTGATTTCGGGGACCCCGTGGTTGGTAAATGAGATTCTAGAGATTGATTTTACTTTGACACCTTGTTTATCTTCATATGCTGTTCGTGTGGGAAATTTAATAATTTAGAAATTCCCCGAAATGGTTTTGTACTGTTGGTGACGGCTGTAATCGATGCGCTATCTATCTCCGCAATGATCGACTTGTGACTTTTCAATTTTCGTTTCATATGTGTTTAGGGGTCCTATTAGCGGATCCACCCCCGTTCGCTTGAGGAAAGGAGAAAGGAGAAAGAAAAAGGCTGGAACGCAACGGAGGAAAGAAGAGGGAAGGAAGCTTATTTTTAGTAAGCACTCATGACAAAGTTGACCAGTTGACTGAAGTTTGCTAGCAGTTGTGGTGAAGAATCAATTATTGTGATGCTTGTTGCGAACACCCTGTTTCATCGATATTTTTCCATAGGTTTAAATGGCAGATCAATCGATGTATCGCAAAGCACGCCACGCCACTAGGGCAGGGTCTCTGAAGTGTACCTCTTGTCTCTGAAGCCATGGCTTAAAAAAAAAAAAAAAAAAAAAAAAAAAAAAAAAAAAAAAAAAAAAAAAAAAAATTAGGTAGCCATTACCATATTCTGGTTAATAAACGGCACAACCAGAGATTATGGTAACTTCCATCAAAATTATCGTGAAAGTAACAAGATTTTTCCTTACTGTGACAATAACTTTGGTGAAGGTTACCACATTGTCTGGTTGTGCCGTTTTTTAACCAGAGTATGGTAAATGTTACCCAACTTTTTTTTCAACTTCTAGTCTGGTCTACCAGACTAGATGCCAACATACTCGATTTAACGTCTAACGAATGTACGTGAATCATATTCTATGTATACGTGGCGGGTCTGCGATGACGGGTAGTTTTTTTTAGGGAGAACTGTCAGTCAATTGGTTGCCTGAACGTGAAATGAACCTAAACGCGTGGAATAACCTCTATGATTGCGCATGTGATTCTTAGAAGCCCTTTACCTCAAAAAAAAGAAACGCACGCAACATTTGGAAATCGGTTAAATTTTACTCATTAATATGTGGTTAACGTCACCAACTATGATTACACGCATCAATATGCTCTACCAATGAGTGTTCACAGAGTTTTTGCAATTACTTTTTTCTTGACCTTTACCTTACGTGGTTATTTTTCTGGGAAGCTTTTGGAATCACTTAACGACGCACAGTGTTGGATTCGACTTTAAAACTTGACTATAACTACTTAAAAGTTGAAACTACGGAATGAGAAAGTCCTCAATTCAAAAGATCATGAGTGAAAACTGGACGCTGGAGAGGTCGTCCGATTCAGTTCGTTCAGTTTTGAACTTATATTCATTCAAACGGCTCTAAAACGGGCTCACTGCATGTTTAAACATCTGTTTTTTTTTTCAAAATTCCTTTGAAAAAATCTATCTAATGTGGGAAAATGTCTATTTCAGAGACTCTTATGGTAAAATATTTTGTGGCAGTATCCGCACTCCGAGAATTTTGACAGTTAGAGCCAAGAATTGTGTCCCGGCTGCCGAAATTCGGCAGAATTGCCGAAAATTCGGCAGTTCTGTTGGGACCGAAAATATCGGCTCCAGCTGCCAAAATTCTCGAGGTGCAGAAACTGTCGCAACTTTTTTTCCGTGCAGTACCTCTACTCTCACTTTTATTCTGATAGTTTTCCTTATGACACTTAGTCTGGGCTATAGAAATGTTTGGATCGGTTGATTCATGTTGATCTTATCAATACATTTGTAGTAAAATGAATATGGGGTGAGTACAGTTAAATCTCTTAGAAATCTGTGCGTGGAAAATCCAGCAGCATTTCAATGGTAACAGTAAGTGCAAACTTCGGAAATAGCAATTTTCTTCAAAATATGTTTTTAAGAAGGGTTTGGACCAGGTTCAATGGCAAAATACCACACTGTTCGCCGTTTTCGTTTTTGAGAATCTAGAAATTACATGACGACAGGAGATTTGACAGGTCCCTTCCCTCGACGATGTGAACGCACTCATAGTTTTTCCGCGATTTTTTCGTCTTAAACGCCTCCGTTTTCCTGGAAGCTTTTTAAATCACCTCACCTCACCACGCGATAATTCAGTCATGCCAAGGAAGAACATCCAATGAAAACTGGAATGTTGCCGAATGTCTCTCAATAAACTGTGCATTTATTTTAAAAAAATATGCATATTTCTCCTAGAAATTATCAGATCTAACTGTGGACAAAATTATCTTATCAATGTATATATTCATCTCTTAAAAGGTATAAATCTCTCCTAAATAAATCTCAGCGTTCTTCCTTAACACAACAACAGATTTCTAATTTATCTGCATGAGCTTTCGGTCGTTGCCCCTTCAATAAAATTTGACTCCCAACCGTAATTCACATAAAAGTACTTGAAACTACTTAAAAGTACTTTAAGTCATTTTAAAGTATTTGAAATATTTTGGGGAAATATTCATAAATTGTCTGAAAATAAATATTTTGAAAAGGAAAAAATTTACAGCATTTTGTCTTTCCCGAACGGAAAAAAGTAACTCCATTCCAAGGTCGCAACATTGATTCAAATATTTCAATTTGTTTACAAGAATGTTTTTTTTCTTTTCTTTCTTTATTAAGTATATAGAGAATACGAGATACGTGTTTTAACCCTATTCGTTAAAACTTATGAACTATTTATAATAATATAATGGGACAAGAATGTGAATGTTCAATTTGTATCCGAAATTTTAGCGATTTTTGAATGAGTTCAGAGGAAAAATGAGTGAACTTTTCAGCTCAAAATTCCGACGATCCTCTCGGTGAAAAGTCAAATTCCGAGGGTAAATTTGGCAAAATTGAAATTTAGCCACGTTCTTTCGTGAGGAGGACGACAATTTGAATGCTCATTTGGAGTTTTTCTTATGGCATGACATCAGTGGCGTGGCGTGCTTTGCGATACATCGATTGATCGGCCATTTAAACCTATGGAAAAGTATCGATAAACAGGGTAAGCGCAGCGAACACTTTAATAATCAATTATTTACTACAGCTTCAAATGGGGAAATATCGATAGATCGCAAAGCACGCCACGCCACTGCATGACATGAATATTCCGTAGTCTTCAAATATTCCGCCTCTCATCGAAAACATGCGGCAACGTCTGAAGGCACTTACGTTGTTCTTCCCCAGCGAGGCAGAATCAATCTCCGTTGCGCTACTCTTTATCTTCCGTCGACGCGCTCTTTGGTTCCTAGTCGCTCGCGAAATGAAGTCCCGCAAACAAGGGTGCTATATCGGAGTGTCGCGCGCCATTTTCCGGCCGGTCACGATGGCCGGCGTCCTGGTCGTCATAGTGGCCGGCATTTCATCGGCCGCCATATTGCCGGGCACTAGCGGCGACGGCATCCATCCAGAGGTCGGTTACCCGCGTGGCATCCGAAGATTCGGCGTCGCTGAAGGACCTGGGAACGAAGAGGGAAAAGAGGGTGGTGCGAACGAGGGATTCAGTGCAGTGGAAGGGGTGGGTGCTGTTCAAGTGAAGGTTGCATCTGCTGAAGATGAAGACAAGGTTGAAATCGCCGATGGAGTCCAGAACATTACTCCAGACGATGAAGGAGCCGGCAGTGTTATCTTGCCACGGGGCTTACAAACTCGTGTGACGAGAAATACTTGGCGTAAGTACACAAATTGTCCCTTGTTTCCCTGAATGAATTGAACTATTTACTCGCATAGTGAGTTGGACGGGGGCGGCATTTGCTGATGGGGAGCAAGGAGGTCCGGGGTGGCTCCCTCCAAAATGTTTTAAGATATAGCCCCTTAGAGATTGAATTTTAAGCAGTTTTAGCGTACAATTGATGCATCATTTGAAAGTTGAAAATTGACGAACAATAATACTTCTTAGAGAAATGCTATTTTGGTATATATGGCCTATTTTTTTCTGTGGTATTGAGTGAAGCTTGGTTTAGTAAACTTGGTTGAATAGTTCTGAAGTTCTGTCTTGACCCATTTCAGTAAAATTTTAGGATTACTTTGTTACTTTTAACCTTCTTTCCCCCCTTGGTCCGCCACTGTTTACTCAGAGAGACTCGGAGTTAAATTTGGTAGTTAGATAAAATTTAATTAATTGTGCCGAATTGACGAGATTCCGAGCAATAGGTCGATATCGTTAGCTATAAAATCGCGTTTTGATGATTACAGCTTATACATAGATTAGCACAAGAAAAAAGCAAGCCGGGAGGCTCCAAAACGTTCGTGTTAGGAAAGCGCTCGGCTATTATGTATGCTGTTTTTTTAAAATCCCCGAGGAAGATAAGATATGATCACCGTTGAGATGAAAGAACTCGCTCACCGAGGTTTCAACTATCAACTTTGAGAGAAATTTTTCACCGCTAAAAAAATAAATTGTAACAAAATGAGTATTTTCCTCTGTGCTTTGACATCAGAGGCATTAGGTAAAGGTATCTCAGATTAATCCATTAGGTAAAGGTATCTCAGATTAATCCATTAGGTAAAGGTATCTCAGATTAATCCATTAGGTAAAGGTATCTCAGATTAATCGGACGTATTTCTGCCGAACGGAATTATGTGTATTGAAGCATAAGCCCTGCGACTCATAAGAATACATGCATAACAGTGCTCACGTCATAATGCACATAGTTACATTTTGCAGAGGTACGTCCAATTCGACTAAAATTAAGAGGCTCGGTTCTCGATTGAAGCAAAAATCCGCGTGAATCAAGGGAATGCTCTTTTTTTCGAATGTTTAAAGAGCCTGAACTCTACATCCGAGAGACTTTTTTTCCAGTGTAGATGTAATCAATTAATCAGACGTTTGGAAAAACGGGGCCATTTGCAAAATTACCAATTGGGAAACTCTTTGCATGCCTAACAAGATTTTTCCAACCAACTTTCATCATATTTTTCGAAGTTTGATGACATGATTTTAGTTAGTAATTTGTATATATTTTATGTCTATGTGTTGAAAGGGTGGGATCCAATGCCTGACGTCGACATAACATTCAATTTTGAGCACGGAGAAGTCTACGAAAGCGAGGGTAAGTTTCATTTCTCTAGAGCAATTGATGGTGAAACGATTCTTTTCAGATTATTGGGCGGCAAATGTACAACAAATTTTAAGAAAAAAGGTATATTATTGTGTCATTCCATTCAGTAACAAAGAAGCTATTGAAATTACTTCATGATGGTTACTTTCGTCCATTGAAAAGATTATTCCAGCGTGCGAAAAGGAAAAATACCTTCTCGATTTCAAATGTTGCCAAATTTCGATTGGTCGCTTATGAGGAACGTTATGAGTATTTTTCTCAGAAATTTTCGAGGAATTTAGATTGCTAATGGGTTGCGCTCCCTGACTGCTCTCCGGCCCAGTCTTTAGAAAGCGCCTCGCACTTCTAGTTGGCGGCTTTTCGCGCGGCGCCAAGGTATCACAGATTCCTTTTATAAGTTGTATGAAAATGATGCGGGGGGGGGGGGACCAAAATATATGTCGCAGGCAATTAGCAATCGTCGGCAATTTGTAAGCGGTTCACACGTTGTTTCAATAAATCGCAATTATGTGCATCGGCATAACGCAATTCTTAAGGGTTATGGTCTTAAAAAGTATGAGCTCGGCTTGAAGCGCCTTCATTTTTTGTGATACTCCAATCTTGGCCACGATGTTAGTTTAGTTGCCTGTCCGATCTTAACCTAACTAATGTCACGGAGTTCACTGCACGCATGGCACGCACCGCACTGTTCACATGGACCCTGCCGTGCCTGGAAAAATGTTCGACGAAATAAACGAAATGATGAATTTGTCGCGTCCTAAGTCCCCAAGCAGAGCTCCAAATTCAAGCCGCAACGTCCGTATACAATCGTTTGACGACGAGGGTGATGATGAACCTCGTATCGCGACTCCTGTCCGAATGGTCAAAGGCATCCAGAGTCCATCTCGGAATGTACGAACTTCAACTTGGGGCGGTGAAGGAGACGCAGGTAAACGCTGGTCACTGATTGAAGGTACTCAAGTAGAACATCCTTTATACTTAGTAGGACAGTCGCTAACTTTTGTTCAAGTACTACGTAAACACACACTGGAAAAAAAACACATTGGATCTAGAGTCCAGACTCTTGAAAACATTGACAAGAAAAAATACTCTTGATTCAATCAGATTTAAGCTTAAATCAAAAGGAAATCCGCTCAAATTAAGAAGCTTGGTTCTTGATTTAAGCTTAAATCTGATTGAATCAAGAGTAGGTATTTTTTCTTGTCGATGTTTACAAGAGTCTGGACTCTAGATCCAATGTGTTTTTTTTCCAGTGCGGGGGGAGGGGGGTTTTAGCTATCACGGAAAAAATTAAATTGCTGGTTTAACAATTTTGTAGTTGAAAAAGTGACTGCAATGTTTCAATGCAGAGTTTACAACGAAAAAATGCTACATTAACCACCCCCTGGTTAAATTAGCTTTCCACTTTTGCAGACTTATAAACATTGCAGTCACTTTTTTTTTAGCAATTGAATGGTTAAATCAGCAATGCATTTTTTCCAAGCAGCGTTACAAAGGGGGGGAGAGGGTTCAAGCCCAGTGTTACGCAATAAATCCGAGTCGGGAGAAAAAGAAACTTCGAAAAAAACGTGCAAAAAGTTGAAACATTTGTAAAACATATACCAGAACGAAGAGTGCGCGAGTTGTTATCCAAAAGTGATTAAAAACATTTTCCCTGATTATTTGGACGTATTTCTATCAAACAGACCTATGTGAAGGTGAGAAATATGGGGTATGCTCGTTAGTTCTCTGGCCGTAAGAGTGAATGAGAATAATAAAGCGCCAGTGACGTCAGCGGCAATGATCGAGCCCCAGAGCGGGGCCGCGATCTTCGTCGGGGGGCATTAACTCATGAGCCCTGTCCACAACGCTCTCTTGCCATGCCCGCGGCTCATGGGTTCCGCATTCAGTTGGCACATAGGTCTGTTTGATAGAATGTAAAATCCCGCTTTTCCAATTCTTCAAAAGGAATCACGCCCACTTTTACATTGCTTCTTCTGCAGATTTCTGGAGCACACCCCATATTTCTCACCTCCACATAGGTCTGTTTGGTAGAAATACGTCCATTTAAGATTAAACTGAAACGTTTTCAAAACAAACCTGCGTTTTGGTGTGTTACCAGGGCCCTACCGAAATCCACATGGAGGTAGAAATATGAAGTCGTATGGGGGTGATGGAGATCTCGGTTTTGCAACCCCCAAGTATCAAGGTCAGATGTCTGTGATGTCAGGACATGGAGGTCCTTTCAACGGCTTCAATCGTGTTCCCTATAGCCCCAAAAATGGCTTATGGGCAACAAGTGGCTTCGATCGCAGCCCCTATGGCTCCAATGGTGGCTTCAATGGTCTCAATAGTGGCTACAATGGCTTCAATGGTGGCTACGGTGGTTTCAATGGTGGCTACGGAGGTTTCAATGGTGGCTACGGAGGTTTCAATGGCTTTAATAGAAACAATTTCATGAACAATGGTAATTTCCACTAGAAGGAAACTTCTGATAATTCAGATAATTGTTCTGCTGCGTTATCAAAGAGAGCAGTACCTAAGTGAAAAAATGAAGTTTTGGGAAAACGGATCTAGTGGCATCTGAGCGGGAAATTTTATCGAACGAAATCCCCCGTTCTTCGTAAAATTGTCTATAATCGTCCAAAAGGCTCTAGAAATGTTTCGATGGCTAAAAATAAGCTATGTATAGATGACCAAAGTGCGAGACTACGTATTTTCGTTTGCGATATTGCAGATTTCCTGCCATACTTATTTGTTTCTGTGAAAAACAAGTCAACGCAATTTCCTGAAAACGTATTTGATTTTTCTTCAATGTTCAAATATGCTGTACAAAGTCTAAGCAATTAACTTAGCCTGTTCCTCTTCGAGAGAATAAAATAGGAGGAGAAGTTTGGAACCTAACAATGGAGATACGTAGTCTCGCACTTACGCAATTGATACATTGTTAGAAATCACACTGAAAAAAAATTCTTGGCGTTTTTACCAAGGTCCGTTGCTTGGTACCTTTACCATCTCACTTTTTTTACCAATTTTGGTAATTTTACTAAGACAGTCTGTTAAGCTTACCTAAAAACCGGTATTTTTACTGTTTTTTCAGGTAAGAATACCACTTTTATTGGTAATCTATTCCCGGTAACTTTGCCATTTTATCTCGGTAATTCTACCACAGTCGATAAAAAATATTGGCGTTTTTACCAAGGTCCAGTAAAATTACCCAGAAAGTTCAATAATTTTACCGAGATTTCTCGGTAAAATTACCAATTCCATAAATGGTAATTTTACCAATGAAAAAACTGGGATCAAATAGAACCCTGAATTCTTGGTAATTTTACCCTTTTCTTAGTAAATACATCGAGTTTTTTTTCAGTGCAAGGAGTAAAATTCAGTGCCAATCCATACATGGTGATATAGGGTTAAACGGCCAGACTGCAGGAGCCGAAACATCCCCAAACCCCCTCTTCAAATTGAGATTTCGATTTTTTTTTAGATTACTTATGAATTCAGGGCATGCAAGTACATGGATGTACAAATTTTCATGAGATTTGGTTCACAACCGGTGCCTCAATTCAGGAAATCCGATTTACTTTCCGAAAGGGGGGGGGGGCGTAGCTCCTTTGGAAAAAAACTTTACACAACAAAAAAGTTTTATTTTGACCCATAGAACACGCTCCTGCAGTCTGGCCGTTTAGCCCTGGATTACCCTGTATGTTGCACACAAACCTCAGGTGATGAAATTAGCACAATAAAGGCGTATGGTACTTCGCAAAAAGATAAGCAGATTCCGCTCCGCAATAAAGCAAGTAACTTCGTTAGGAGAATAGATTCCGCTTCGCATCCATATCACTTAAGGCTTTTGGACGTTGTATGTGTGGACTCTGGCACCTAATTTTACTCTAATTTTTTTTCCATGGGTAATTTATTAAAATGAGACAGATTTCGAACAGAGCAAAGCAAAATACGCACGTAGTTTGGTATGGTTAACTCGTGCCATGTTGGTGCTACTTTAGCACCATGTTGGTATAATGATAATAACAACATGATCTCAGCATGGTACCAATATAATTATTTTAAGCTTCACCCCCAACTTATTTCAATATTTATGAATTTTTTTAAAACTTTGTTACCCCTCGATTGTGTTTGTAGCATTGCGTGCCGTACAAGATTTCGTTGAGAGCCAGTCTGCGTTTACACTGACGATTGAATGCCCGGCGAAAATCGGGAAATACGTTTGCAAAATCCAGTGTCGGATGAAGCACGAGACACTGAGGGGAGTGTGCTTTCATGACAGTTGCTTCTGCGCTCCTCAGGAACGAAAGGAGGCTCTGAAACACATGAGCAGAAGTTACCGTGAGTAGTTTTAAAGAGTACATGAGTCGTATTTTGCTCGGAGGCAACACTCGCAACATGTTGTGAAAACAAGCAACGATCACATTTTGTTCGGAGTTGTTTTGCGTTGTGGGGGTGGGGCTTATTTTCGTGCAAAATTCGGGAGCCCCTACGGCAACATTGTTGTACATAAACTGCAACGTGCTCTGAGGCAAGTCGCTTTTATGTTGCTGCCCAAGACAACGCTGTTTTCTAACATAAAATTGAAAATTAGCTCTCTCATTGGTTGTTCAGAACCACGTAAAAGAAACAAGAAAAAAATACAGAAACAATTTGTTGTTTCGAACAAAATGCGACTATTATCAGGCAATACCAATAATGTGCGATACTGTAGAATTATCTTGGGCATCCTCATGCCAAGTACGTACTAGAACTTAAATGATGAATACGTTAAGCAGACTAGTCATATCGATGATTAAAGGGAAACTACGTAACGTATCTCCTTGCAATGGCGGGGGCGGCACTGCAGAGGAAGGGTGACTCTATGTGCCTTTTTTCTCTTCTATGAAAAGAAATTGCGCGATACAGCCTTACGACGTCATCTTAACTTACAATCAACACGCGTTGCACTTTCCAACTTTTTTACTCACCCGTTAAAGTCTCCTAGTGATAGATTTGGTGCGGAGCGGTGTAAAGGCTACAAGCATACGGATTTATTTCTGCCAAACAGAACTAATGTTTCAAATGTATTTCAGGAGCTTTGGTCAGCGGATACGACACAATCTGCGACAACTGGAAGAACGTTAAACAGTGCATGCGGTTCTGCAAAGCCTTGACGCCGAATAAAAGCTACACCGGTATCTGCAAGGATGACCACTGTCAATGCGTGACCAACCCGTCGATCCCAGAAGCGAAAAAGTACGCCTGCATGAAAGCCATTCGGAAGGTGAAGAAGATGGAGGACACGGCGTTGAAGTACCTGGGGTTCCGACCTTTGCCACTGAGCCAACTCAGCGCCGCCGCCGAGAAAAAGGTGAACGAAGTTGCGGACGCGACGCTTCGGAAGTTGAAGTCGAGCAACAAGATAGACGGCTGCACGGAAGAGGAAATCAAGAATTTGAGGAGCATTTTGGCGGGTTTGGCGCAAGGACTAAGTTTGGCGAGAGGTGGTGCACCGACACCGACACCGAGGCCGTCCAATGGGAGTCAAGAATCTAAACCTGGGGCGCCTAGTTCAGCATCCCGGAGCTTTGGGCCGGGGCTGCGGGGCCCGGGAGTTAAATGAACTTTGATTTAACCACACACCACAAGTACACTGGACGCCCCCCCCCCCCCCCCNGCACCACCAAGAACACCAAACTGCTTGATCCGAAGAAAATGTCTCTTAGGTCCAGAGTCAATACTATTTGGATTCCATTTTGCAAAAAGGAACCAGGAGTATTCCAACGTTGCTAGGGTTTTGCAACTTACATTATTTGCAAAAAATTACTGAAATCGTGCACAAAATTTAATTTACAAAGGTGATTTTCGTCTTAAATTCATCGTTAATTGGGAGTAAAGATAAAACTTGTTCAGATGATTAGATGTTGTGAAGTATCTTCTCATGCAATACAAATTTTCAAGGGTATATACATGCGCTTATTTTTCTCCCAATTTTTCACAGACTTTAATTTGAGAGGGTTGAGGACAAGACGCAAAGGTACAGCTTTGCGGAAATAATTGAGGTGTTGATGCGATTTCACGTAAAACTAGTCTTAATGCATACTCGGTGAAAAATTCGCTCCCAAATTCAATTTTTAAGCATCAAAAAGTCAGTTTGAACTTTCTTTCCGCAACTTTCTTCCGGATCCATGTAATTTCGAAACTTCAAACATGAATACCTCGAAATTGTAAGGACTGCACTTATGCGCCTTGTCCTCCAAGCCCCTCATTTGCGCTTTAATCCTCAGTGCCCCAATTACAAGGAAAAATATTCATAACTTTCCTAAAAAATGAATGTTTTATGATGGGAAATTTGGCAACATATGAATGCTCATACGATGTTTTTCCTTAGCACAGCACACAGTGGATCGAGTCAATAGGAGAGGTCGGACCAAATTTGGAATCTTTAAACGCTTACAACTCCGTCTATACAAAGCATCGAGGTTCTAAAGGAGGTTCCATTTGTTTCTTAGTGAGCTTTTCTTCTAAAAGCACTCCTTGAATTCTTAAATGTAATGAAATAAACATCAAAATTTGAAGTTCTAGTAAAAAATGTGATGTCCGACCTATCTAATTGACTCGATCCGCTGTGCGGCGATGAATTTTCTTTTGGAGACTTTAACGCAGGGGTAGAAAAAACAACTTAAACGATAGTCGCATTTCTGCAGTTTTTAGACCCGAGTTTAAGGCTTTGTTATGTTCGACTTACTGTTTTTCAGAGATAAAGCAATTCTGTGATACTACATAGCAGCGCAGCGTAGTGGCAAATCTCGTCCCTAGATCACATAGAATCCCCCTAATATGCGCATCGTTTTCTACCAATGGACTTGATCCACTGTACGGCAGAGTAGATCTCAAGAAAACAAACTCGTGTGAGCGCCTGACCATGAAAAGTGGAACTGTGCTGTTTTGGTCTGATGACCACTGCGTCTTACTCTTCTCGGATGGCATCGCGGAGAGAGGAACTGATCTGCACTGTGGCTTTGCCAAACAATGGACCCCTAGACAAGATAATACGAGTAATTAAAGCATTAAATGACATGCTTCCTCGACAGAGGTTCGTGTAGTATACTTATGTAGGTATCCAAAATCAACTAAGAAATGGACGAGAAAAAAATAGTAAGAAACGTAGCCCGAACTGTACGTAACAAGGTTATAAAGTAGTGTTGGGTCCGCACAATTTTGCGGGGAAAACGAGGTAAAAAAATCAAAAATTTCAATCAAAGGGAAAAAATTAATGGGGTGGGAAATTTGTAGGTAGATATTTGGACTGAGTTAAGCAGAAAGGAGCCAACCCACATTTTGGAAAAAATTGAGTTATGAGTGGTTTTGAACTCAACCACTGCTCTACTATCTATCGCCAAAAATTCAAAGTGTTTGTTGGAGCAAATTTTGCAGAAATTGAACTTGAAGTTTAACTTTTACATTGAGTCTTATGCAGAAGCTAAACTCTAAGCCTCTTTTTCTCGGTTCGATCCCGATGTGGCTTGGTTCCTTTCTGTTTAACTCCGTCCATTTGAAACTTGATAAAATTCATTTGGATACACTGAAAAAAAGAAGAAAACTCCGGTCATGGAGGCCGTACTTACGGGCTATATAGACAACCCGTTCGCGTTCCGGGCTCAGAGACCGAAAGTTGCGGGTGTAGCACCCCGAGCAGTTGAAGCAACGGCTCTAGCACCCGAAGCATTCGGCCTATGAACCCGGAACGGACGGTATGTAACTTTTTTTGTAACAGCTCGTAAATTTTTTTCAGTGTAAGTTACTAAGAATTCGTGGTCGTTTGGTCGAGATGACAGGCGAAAGTAGTAGTGGAGGAACCAGAACTTGAAAACAATCGGTTCAATTCCCAAAAACGGAGAGTTAAAAATCATCGAAGAATCTCAACGGCAACAGCGTTGGCCACGAGTCCGAGGCTGCGGAGCAACCGGTTCCGAACTAATCCCAGTCAATAAATAAATAATCCAAAACGTAACCGAACCCGAAACCGAAACCGAGAGAGAGAATGAACAGAAATCGGGAGAAGGAAACGAAGCGAACCGGATGGAATAGGAAAACGGGCGTAATCACACAGGTTGCGGGGCTCCTAAACGAGGGGGTGGATTTTGATTTATCTGATCACATTTTTCTTTGCTTTCTCCCACCTCCACCCCCCACCCCTATCTGTAGCCCGCGATCGTCTCCGATCCGCTTACCTTGAACCGCCCGCCGCGCCGCCGTGGTCCTGGCGTGAAGCCGGCCAAATACGCTCGATTTTTGTGAATGGCCCCGTTTTCTCGACGTTGCCCAACGTGGATTTGTAAATGTTTATTTACCTTTCACCTCCTGTTACACCATTGACTGCGACGTTCTGTTATTTTCAGGGCTAAGCCAATAATCGTTATTATTCAAAGTTCCCAGGAAAAATTCTTTACAGGATGAAGACAAGTGATTTGGGGTCATGAAATGAGCATTGAGCATTTTCTCGCATTCGCAATTTTGGCGCTTACGTGATTTGGAAAAGAACCGGTTCAATTAACAATTATAGGCCAAAATATGACTTTTTTCGCAATTTCGGCGGTTACTTGATTTGGAAAAATAATCAGTTCAATTTCCAAAAGACGCAAGAAAAGTGATTTGGGGTCATGAAATGAGAGGGTCGTCGAATATCGATAAGGGCCGTTTTTTGGCCCACCCTAAAGATTCTCCTACATTTAACTAAGAAGGCAAAACAAGATCTAGTGAGCTCGAATAGTGGTATCAAAACGTTGCTGTAAAAATGATTTCAAGTAAAATTAGTCTTAATGCATACATACATACGAGTCGCTGTTATAGCGCTCTTTGGCGCTTTGCGACACCTAATCGCCACAAAGCTCGGTCTTCCCACAGGTTATCAGGGAGTTGACACTCCCTCATCTCACTTAACACCCCCTGTCGCCAACCTCTCACTGGGCGTCCCCTACGCCTCCTCCCAGAAGGAACCCAATCAAGCATCTTTTTCGGCAGCCTCTCTTCCGTCATCCTATTGACATGACCATACCAAACAAGTTGTTTGGTCATGACGTCGAACACGATGTCATTTTCGACAGGTCGGCAGGTATTTCTAGGAGAGATCGGGTCCATAATGATAGAGTGCGTCAGATAATGGAAGTCGAAAATGACATCGTGTCTTAATGCATACTTGGCGAAAAATTCGCTCCCAAACTTCAATTTTTGAAGCATCAAAAAGTCATTTTGAACTTTCTTTCCGCCATAAGGATCCATGTAATTTCAAAATTTCAAACACGTATTTCTCGAAATAGGAAAGACTGCACCTATACGCCTTGACCTCTAAACCCCTGAATTACTTTATGTATCGCTAGTATAAGCCTGGCAACATAGCAGCGTATCCTTAGACCATGCGTTAAACAATGTTTCCTGTGCCCCCCCCCCTCCCCCATATATCCTTTTTTTTCACCCCCTACCCACCCTGACCGCACATGATCCATAGGGGTGGAAGGAGGGAGTCAGGGGAAGATTCGATAGAAGTGAAATCATTTATAGTATTGTTTGCCCGCCGCCATGGACTGTCTAAACAGGTCGCTTCTCCAGAGTTACAACCATTTTCCGTCTGTCTTTGGGTCGCGTCTTTTGAGTCTCGAACTGATTGTCCTGTGTCCCTAAATCTCATTCGGCAGGTCCTACAGGAAGGAAGAAGAATGTCGAATTGTCCACTCCGATTAACGACTTAGAACTGTCCTATCCTTTTGAAAGAGTGGATATCGCTTTGAGTGGGGGCCAATCCTTGAAACGAAGACTAGAGCCCACATTGGATATTTTCACTTTACTCCCGTGCTAAGGAGGAACGCCATATAAACATTCGAGAGTTGCCAAAGTGCCCCGGAGAAAACACGTAATTTTTAGGTAAATCATGCGGTTTTTCCTTGACAATTTTAGACGTCTTAGATAAAATGACGAACAAAATTGTCTGAAAAAATTGAAGGAGAATATTCACAATTTTCCATGTAAATTAGGTTTTTATTGAAGGAAATTTGGCAACGTCTGCGGGCTCACACGGCGTTCTTCCTTAGCACGGCAGTATAAGGTTTGCCATCTTCAGCCTCTTATGGATCTTGTGGTTGATTCAACCGACAAATTTCAATTCAAAACAAATTAATTCTCAACAAAGATTATGAGCAAAACACACTTGTCTTTCGAATAATGTCAGTGCCCTACGCCTGGCTGCACACCTCGTATAAGATTCGCTAGCCGCAGTTTGGCTTTCCAAAATTTCTTTCTCTTAATTTGCATCATTAGATAAGATGGAGATGGATTCGATCGACATAAAACAATCGAAAAGTAAAAATGTGACCCGATTGACAAAATTTGATTGATTCACAGCGGAGGTTGTCGATCGATGCACGGCCTCATCGATCAATTACGGATTTGTCGATCGACTCACGGGGTTTGCCAACTGACCCACCGGTTGGGCCAATTGATTTACGGGTTTGTAAACCACTTGACGGAGATGTTCATAGATTCACTGCTTTATCGGTCGGGTCAGGGGAGCGTCGATTGTTTCATGGTTGTCGTACAAAGCTTTGTCGATTGAATCACGCCGATCGGATCTCGTGTTTTTTCGATCGATTCTTGTCTATGGAATCC